CTCGCAGCATACTGAAGAGACGAAACAAGAATGCCGGGACCGGGCTGCATGGTTCCAATTCGTTCAGACGCCAGCAGAGTGGTCGGTCGACGTCGGATCAAGGTAGAGTTGATTGATGCTTAATCTGCTAGTGTCCACGTACCAGGGAGTGCGTGGCATCTGCCGTGTTTTGTATGGTCTCGACTGGCATGGTATGGACTATGGAGAGGGGGAACATGGGCTACGGGAACACGGCACTGGAGAGGAGGAGGATGTTTCTCTCTGCTCTGTTCTGCGCTTTCCTTTTCCTTCCTGCGCTTTCCTCGCCTGCGCTTTCCTCGCCTGCCGTGGCCAAGATGTGGCTCAAGACGTTGTGGCTGTCCATGTGCCTTGCTGAATGTGCCTTCCTGGCTTGCCTGGATATCCCTTCCTGGAAGGCAGGACCAAGGCCCCGCTAAAGGAGACAGAGTCCGGCGTCTGGTTGGTCGCATCCCATCATCCGCCCTGTCAAGCCTGTTCGAGTCATGCTGGCCCCCTGTGATTCGCCAGACGCTTGGCACCTTGGCGCCTGTCGCTTGGGCGTCTCTTGGCGCTTGGCGTCTCCCGAGAGCCCCTGGTCGTTCTGGCCTTCTGGCCTTCTAGCCTTGTGGTCTTCTGGTGCAGACTGACATCTGAAGCTTCAAGCACGGCACGACAGCGTTGCCGTGCCTTGAAGGTGCTGTGGACATTAACTCGATGCTGCGGAGCTGATCAACACTGGAACTTTGCTCTGCCATCATGAAACCGAAACCCGTTGTTTTTGGAATCATCTATTAACAGCTACCAACAGCGTCCTCCCCAACGCAGGCACCTTGCCTGATCCGCCTGCAAGCCCTCTCTGCCAACGCACTACGGGGCATATCGGACACGAGCAGCCCCGGCCGCCGCATCATCAGCTCGAAAAGAGATGAGAGACAGCTGTAAACGAGCCATTTGCCTCACCTGGTGGCGTTGCGCGCTTGCGCCCTCGACGGGCCTCCTTGTGGTCTTCGCAGTCTTCGGCGTAATGTCAGACACATCTGTGACTGATACGCCCTTGTCAAACCTTCGCCATGTTCGGGACTGTTCTTCCTCCCACGAGGGATCGTACAGTACGCCTCTGGAACTGGCGTTATTGCCCTATGACCTTGGGAAGAAATCTCGCGCACAGCGCCCCTTCTGGGTTCTGAAGGCCCAACAGCCGGAAGCAAGCCAAGCCCTCGATCTTCCCACCTCTGCATCTCGATAGAAGGAGGAAATATTGACGGCTTGACCGGCATTTCGCACGATTTCTTATCATAGGAAGCGAAGAAGCGAAGGCCTAGTGATGTATCCTTCGCCTGATTCAGAAGGACATCACATCGATTCAAACAACCGCCCAGGTGCTGTCGTATTCTGCCTGCCTCCTTCAAATTCAAAGTCAGCCGATTGTTCATAGCAGCGCAGAGACCGGGCCGTCAGCCCTGTGTTAACCCCTCACAGCAAGTGCAAGGCGCCATTCCGACAGGCGGTGTGTCAGTCCTCCATCGTCCGGCCCTTGCACCAGTATCACCACACTCCCCGCATGTTGAGGTTCCGTCCCCTCTATTCTTCTCGAAGACAAGCTTTACGCTCCATACCTGATGTACGACCCGATCCAACGAATATGGCATGCGGTACGACGTTCTCGATCCGGTGGACACTCGCAATTGGGCGCCTGCGTATGCGACATTCCCCATGTTGAACGGGTACGGGCATGGTAGACTTCCACAAGGTGCGACAGAGGCCAGCCACCGAGATGCTCGAGTTCTCTCGGTGACTTGGCGAGTTGGCGATTCCTGATGTGGTCGCTGGCATGCATCGTTTTTGAACGTTGCCGTGGTCATCGAACGAGTTATCCAGACTTCCATGACGCCTAGCTGGGATGACATGATGTCTGAGAAGCGTACTCTAGCACCATTCCAGATGCTGAGAGCGTGGCTGCGAAGTCTTCAACCACAAGAAAAATACTTCGTTTCGGTCCCGTTGATACCAGGCTTGCTTCTCGCACCTCACCTGGACGTGCGCTGCGATCAGACTAGCATCATCTTGAGTTTCTTCAGCACAAGACCGCTCAAGTGCTTCCTCGGAGCCTTCGTGCTTTGCCAAGCTCATCAAGTCGTTCTTAACATCAAGTATGCCGTCGGAATCCACCAGCATCGCTTTCAAGACTGCACCACGACCTTGACGTCCCCACATTCGAGTGATGGTCAATGATATCAAAACCTGGTTAGTCAACCCACGCGTGGCATTCCGTGGTCAGCCCTTGACGGCCGCATGCAGGCTTCGTACCCCCCTTTTCGCTGTAAAGGAAACTCGAGAGGCTTCTAGAAGGCACCACAAGAGCTTCTCTTCGCGTCACATCCAGTAGCCTGCGCCAACGAGGCTACACAGCTCAGACTACATGCTTCCGTGCAACACTGCCAGGCCAGTACATTGACCCGTCCAGCATCGTACACATCGCCATGCATGTCAGACCTCGCTGGCAATGTCCAACGTCCCCATGATGCTCCTCCGTGAGGCACGACAAGCTTTGCTAGCCGCCCATGGTACAGAACCAGATCATTCAGCGTGTCTACAAGTGCGCCCCTATCCCCGTTTCGTGCCGCGAAGATGCTCGATCCCCCCGTACCCCCGTGTAACAGCATCGCACCCGCCCGGCCACCCATCGAGTCTGTCCCGCCATGCAACTCTGTCAGGCCGTCGGCCGTCCCAGCCTCTACGGCCTCGGCATCCGGCTCGCCTTCTACCTGCAGTGGTTCGGCGCCCTGGCAGCGGAATACATCGAGATCGCCGACATGTGCGACGTCCGCCTCCTGGGCCTCCTCCTCTCCGCCGCGACGCTCCTGGGCCTCGTCGCCCAGCTCGCTGCCGCGCACCTGGCGCCCGTCGAAGTCTACATCGCGCTCCTCCTCGTCACGGGCCTCTACCTGCCGCTCGCGCCGCTGTGGCTCTGGAAGGCGGCGACGCGCTGCCACGCGCGGTACGACCCGCTGCGCTGGTCGCGCGAGACGCCGAGCCCGGCCTTCAGGGGGCTCGACTTTTGCGCTGCTACTCGCGCTCG